CCCAAAACCTTATCCACACCCCCACCCCCAGAAAGCCCCTCCCGAACTCCCGACCCCCCCGTCTCTTGACTGCCCCCTCCAGAACTTCCCTGCCCCTTCTCCGACCCCCTGGCCCCCTTGTTGTTGGGCTTTCTTCGCCTAACGTCTCTGTGAACTTGCTCAGGAACTGCCTGAGCCACTCGTCCCGGCACGCTGGGCAGCGAATGCAGGGAGGGAGGGAGTGAGCTCTGCTGCAGGGGGGAGGAGGGTCTCTCTCTGGCTGTCGGAGCCATCCGGCCGGCTGCCCTGTTAGCCGCGCGCACTCTGCATGGCGGGGGGGGGGGGAGGTGGAGAGGAAGTCCAGACATTTAAAAATTTCCCCCAGACGCTATTTTTAGCTCAAAAAGCTGGACATGTCCGGGGGAATCCGGATGAATGGTAACCCTACATGTAACTAGGGCCAAGAAATAAACTGAAGTCTCTTACAGCGCTCATGTATGGAAGAGTGAGAACTTGAGGAGGTGGATACAGCACTTCCAAATTTTCCTGCAAGCAAGTGGCACAGAGGAAAAATCAAAGATGGTGAATGCACAAATCTTTCCAGTAGGAGGATGAGAGGACTACAAATTGTTAGACAAAGGCTTTCAAGTCTTTCAAGAATACTTTGATCTACACACGAATGTCACTTGAGAAAGATACACTGTCTTTACATGAAACCAGCTACCAGGTGAGACCTACGTAAGGCTGAGTCACATGAATTTGAACTGTTAGGAGATGGACTAAAAGGAGACGAAATCGTTTGTGACATAACTGATAGTCAAGTCAAGGAAGGTATTGTGAGAAAAGGACTTGATTTTGTAAATAACAGTAGGTATTTTCAAGACTAGTGTAAACAATGCTTCCCAAATAAAAGTGCTAGCAAGCAGTGAAAGAATTTTAATTAGGCCTTCAAATGCAAGCACTATTCCATCAGAATAGCTATGTCTAGTCTTTAAAATGCAACGAGATTTGCATTTTGGAAGCAAGTCAAGAGTTTTGACAAGTCTCACTCAATACAGAGGGCCAGATTATCAGCTGAGAAGGGGCTTCTTTGCAGCACCCCTGCACCACAAGCTAGGCTTGAAGTTGGTCAGGTGGGGATTCCTGTGACATAATGGAATTCCCAAGGGATGCAAAGCCAAATACCAAATTCTACAAAACTGAATATGACGCATCGGTGCAATGGTAAAAGGCAACATTTTATGTTCAGTGAAAGAGAAAAGTCAATTATTAGTTTCATTTTACTCTAAAACACTTTTGACACAACTTCCTTAACAACCTATTTTCTAGGTGCTCATTATGGAAGCTCTGATAATTATTCCAGATTTAAAAGTTGAGTTTTATTTTCCACCTAAAGCAAGGATCCAACCACTTCATTTTCTATGAAAGGTACAATGTATCCTCCTCAAATTTAAGAGCACTTACTCTGACTACAGAATTAGTTTTCTGATAATTTACAAGTAAATTTAATAAGTTTGAGTTAAAAGTCTTGGCTTGTAATTAACTTTAAGAAATTTAACATCTGTCAGTCATCTTTGTCCCAAATGATCTCAACAGAATAACATAGATGCTTCGAACTTTCCATATAGTTAAAATTTCATGGAAATCTTATGCATGGGTTATATTTGAATTAAATAGGTTGTAATTAAACTAAGTTATTAGCAATTAGATATGTTTGTTATAAAGGCTCAGCTCAACACCTTAGGTAACTGAAGAGGGACCATTGTGACATCAGAGGTAACAACCAATCACTAAACTTGCTCTATAGCTAATTTGCATGCATTATTCTAGTGGTTGTAATGATTCAGGGGTATGGGGAAGAATGAACAAGTGTCAAGAATACATTATTCTGGTTAGTACATTATTTGCTCAACTGTCACTTCTCTTTAAAGATTCAGTAGGCATTCGCTACTTCTGCCTTGGCTCCACTGTGCACTGAGGCAGGAGGACCTCTTAATGCACAGAGAATTGGGACTCGGGGGCGCTCCCTTCATAAAGCACCAGTCTCACCAACATAACCCTCCAAAATCAGGAAGAGAACTGCAAGTTAAGGGATAAATTCACCAATATACTCTGGCTGCTTCACACTTTTTTAGCAATACAAAGCAGCGTAATTGGACAGTGCTCTCTGGCTGCTTTGGTGTATTTGTGAATCTTCTCTTAAAATGAAATGTGATTTCATGACTTAAAGGTAAAAACATTACAGGGATGTTATAATTACCCCAAACCAAGCATTAACCCAGACAATTCAGAATTAAGGTTACGCTTAGAAGAAATCCAAAATGTATTAAGGTAAGAAATTTACAGTTACATCACCTAAACAACCTTAACTTTGCACTGTACTCATGGCATGAAAGAAAAAAATATGTATCAACTGAATGGCTTCAAAATCAGTTTAATCTAATCAAACTATAAACGCTAAAATACCTTCATAATAATCATAATTATTGCATGACATTGTACAATGCAGACTTAAGACTGCTAGTGTGCATTTCTTTACCTTAATATTGGAACTCCTCTCCTCCTCCCCAGCCAAAAGTGCACTTAGTTCCTCCCTTCAACAAAATGCATGTAGACTGCCACTGGATTAATCACTGGAGCTGTCAGCTCTTCTACAGACTGACAACCCTCCAACCTCTATAAAATGAGGCAGTTTGACAATATGCTGATGGGATGCCTTTCCTTCACTTGCTGCTATTGCCAAAATGGAAAGTGATTTATTAGCTATATTACAATAAATTGTATATAATAGTTGCACTTACAGTTTCTTCTCTTTTCAAATATTCTACAGTCTGTCATATTCCCTTTACTCATTATTATTAAGCCCATTATGTTATATTAGCACCTATAGGCCAGCTAGGTCAGGATCCCATTGTAGTGCTTGGAGCAGTACAAAAATATAGAAAATGAAAGTCCTTGCCCACAAATACTTACAATCAAAAGCAAGCAAGTAAACAAACAAAAAACAAAAGAAGACAAAATAGGTAGATGAGACAAATAAGTGGGCCAGGGTAACAAATATAGTAGGATGTCAGCAATGAGGGTCAGTGATACTATATGTGATACTCAAAGTAGGGAATATTGCTGGAACCAGTCATAGCTCTTTAAAATTATTTAAGAACCACTCTGAATAGCACAGTTCATTAGAAGATCTCAAAGTGTTTACAACCATTGTCTGCCAGCACCACCTGTGAGGTTAATACAGTGGCCTACATTTACCAACAGTTATCAGAGAAAGTATCAAAACTATCTGTTACTTCCTATTTAGAAAATGAAGGAAACCAATGATTAATAGTGACCCCCTGGCCTGTAACTATCTCTATGTTATGCATAAGTAAATTGAGGTACAGAAAAGTTAGGTGACTTCTCTCCTCAATTGGCAGAGGGAATCCAGGGCAGAATTCATTACACTGCTCTAACCACTAGACAACCTTTCCTGCCTTAAAGAGAAAATCCAGAGTATTTTAGGAATTAACTAGATTTTTGTAAAAATAGAAAAAACTGTAGTTCATAAAAAGATAAAACATTTTTCAAGGAGGCTGCCATTTTCCTACTAAAAAGGGAAGAAGTAAGAAATTAAGACAGAAAGAAATTCATTCTATATTGAAATGTGCAGTGTGGAAAGCAATAGATTTTGAATTCTGCTTTTAGACATATTTTAATATAGATGTCTATTAAATTAATTATGTGAAACTTATTAACTTACCTGGCAATAAAACTAGCAAATAAAAAGTATCTTGCACGATTCCAGATGAAGACAGATAACCTGCATTCCCCTTCCGGAGAAAAGGAGCACCTTGATTTGTCACTTTTCCCTGCCTCAGCCCAGTATCTAGACCAGCCTACTCCTGCAGATTATTTTTGTTCCCACCCTTCAGCCTGACATTAGCCCATTCACTGTGTTGTGGATCTCATTACTACACTATGCTTCCTTTTTCACCTCCATTGTACCTGAAGGTACATCCCTAGCTGGGATGATTTAGTTGGGGATTGGTCCTGCTTTGAGCAGGGGGTTGGACTAGGTGGCTTCCTGAGGTCCCTTCCAACCCTGATATTCTATGATTCTATGAAACCCAAACTACTTTTACCTATATTTTTAAAAAATGCACGTTAAAGCATATATACAACCAGAGTTCAAAGTTAGTTGCTTTTCCAATTTTTTATTTCAGTGCATAATTAATTTCTACTTGTTCTAATTTTTTGCCTGTTAGCGGGAAAATGGAAACTTTCATGGAAAACATTCAGACATTCAGAGACAGAGCAAATCTGACATTTCAAGAGCCATTTCTAAGTTATATTTTCTATTTACATAAGTGCGTTTCATGCAATGCTTGTTAAGAGAACATTGGCAGTTCTCATTTTATATTTCAGTTAACCACTTAGCTATGGCTGTTTCCCTCCTCCTGTTACAGTCTCTCCTATATATATATGGTCAGTTCCTGTACTAGCAGTCTGGTTAATGGATAGATGTTATTCATCGAGACAGATATTAACCTCTCTATTCTACCACTAACAGATTTTGGTGCTGTTCTCCCAGTAAGGGTTGGTGGAAACTTCACCTGAAATACCTACCAGAGGAAATGCCAGGGGGCAAAGATCCGCCCCGAGAGACTGGATGTGGGGCCGGGATGCTATTTAAAAAGCCCGCGCTCAGGAATCTCGAAAGAGACTTCACCCCAATGGTCGGGAAGGATCCTTTTAAAAGATAAAAATGATCATTAATCAAACAAGCTGTTCTTTGGCTGCTCAACAGAAGCTGATTGTTTGAGAGAGTAAATGAAATCCTACAAAGTCAACAATGTCTTCACGGCAGCAGAGTCCATAAAATGCTGTTAAACGATAAAAACTGGTAACAATACAAACAAAACACACACAACCAACCAAAACAACAAAAAAGAAAAAAAAAAAAAACCCCAACACCACAAGCCATTAAGCGATACAGTGCTAGCAAGAGAGGGCTTGTTTCCTCTGGACCTATAGCTGGTACAGTGTTTAAATGGGAAATTTCAGAACTTCAAGGAAGAAGAATACAAAGAGATTCACTTTTAAAGGTGAAATCAACCTCTTAGATCCACATAGAGCAAAATAAGTTTGAGATGCACTATCTCCATGTGTAAAACTCCCACTGATGTCAATGGAATTTCACACACATAATGGGAGCAGACCATCAGTCTAGATCTCTGCAGTCACCTGAAAGTAGAATTTTGTCTTGGCAGAAAATGATGTGAAAAATATCATTTCAAAAGTAGTTATGACAATACACTAAACTTGTCCTCATTTTATGTCATTTGATAGCTATTTTGATATAGCGAAGATGAAAAGATTAAGGCCCTTAATCCTACAACAGGATCCACTGGGGAAGACCCAACTTCAATGGGGCTCGGCCCAGGCCTGTGCTTAGCAGATCTCTACATTGAACAGGGACTTGAAATCTTAAAGCTTCTTTGATATATATCTATACACACACACACACACACAACCAATGGGGGGAAATCTAAATTCTCCAAGTTTGAAAAAAATTAAAATTAAACCTAAATTATAGTTGGGTAATGAATATTCAACATAACTTTTATGCTAGTAAAAACAACAAACAAGATCCCATTCAAAAAGTTAGGCAATGATAAGTTTTGATATCTTTTTTCACCATTTTAAGAAGGCACATCATGGTTGCTCCTCAGAGATGGAAAAGCCTTAATTTCGTTATAATTAGAAATAAATAGGTTTCTTAATCTTTATGCAGTTTCAATTTGTGGGGCCTCCTGTAGATGCAGAGAAACCCAGTTGAGCAAATTCATTCTGAAGAAACGTCAATTTTTTGTTGAGCCTGTGTAGCCTTAGAGAGATCTGAAAAAAAATGTTGCTCCTTTGGTTTTCATACACAATAGATCTGTTTTCCCTCAATACATTTCCCCTTTTAAAACCTAAAGATGGTACAAAAATTATTACTTTATGAAGAAAGAAAATTGATATAATTTATGTCTTAAACACAGAACCTTTACTAGGTATCCTTAAAGATCTTTCATAACCGAAGGGTGGGATCAAACTCTAAAAAATAAATCAAAACAATTTCCTCCCCCCCGCTATGCCAGGCAAGCCTAGTGTTGAAAGCATTAATAAAATTTTCAAATTCTCAGTTCTATCTCAGAACTGTCCTTAATGAGCACTCCATTGGGCACTTTTATACTAAGTTGTTTGATCCTGTAAAGGGATCTGCATGGGAAGATCCTTCCACCCACGCAAAGCTGAATGAAGTCAGAAAACTCAGCACAGATGTATCTCTTGGCAATACTGGGGCCCAAATCAGTAATTTTCTTTTGTGTAACCTAGTTTTCTCTCTAGGAGTGATCTATGGTCTGCCAATAATTCATTTTTATGGTAAGACAAATTAATAAAAAAAATTTAAGAAGAGTCACCTCTAAAGCTATCTTTGTGACGCTTTTTAATTTTTTTATATTAATTTCTTATACCATCAAGCGTGAATTACTGGCAGACTTTAGATCATCCATCACATCTACAGATGTGAAGAAGAGCTCTCTGTAGTTTGAAAGCTTGCCCCTTCTACCAAGATAAGTTAGTCCAATAAAAGATACCTCACCTACCTTGTCTCTTAAGGTATTTAATAAAAAGTATATTACAGAAGACTAAAAAAAAATTAGTGATAAAAATACAATATCAAAGGGGGAAAAACAAAAATTGTAAACATAACAGGAGGGCAGCTTGAAAAGTCTGAAAATGCAAATCAACATAAGGAAGTGGATGTGTAATAGTAAAAATGAAGTAATGGAGTTTCAGAAATGGTATAGAGAACTCCATGGCTACCTCTACAGAAAATAGAAGTTTCCCCTAGCTTAGTACGTTTGTTTTCTTTAGAAAGGAAGAAGCAGTCTTCATTCTGTTCCCAAGTCCAAATCATTCCACATTCCACTATATAGCCACCACATTAATGATTTCGTCACACAAAAGAAGATCATATGTATAATTACACAGGCAGTGCCACAGTAATATGGAAAACTATAGTTATTAAAAAAAGTATTAGCAGAAAAAATAAGGGCAACAAAACCATTAAAGTATATGGGAAGTACTTGAAATACCTATCAGATATTATTAATCTACCATATATAATAGATAGATTTGGGTTCCCTAATAATGGTATATGGTTAGAACTCAGGGCAAACTTTCTTTCATCCAGAGTCTTTACAACAAGGTTTAAAGCCAGAAAGAACAATTAAATCATCTAGTCTGACCTCCTATATATATTGTTATATCAGACCTATTATTTTAAACCCTGTTTGCAACCTTTCAGAATTTTGAAGGATAATACCATTGGATTGCAACTAACCAAAAACCCCAGAATGGTTTTTGTTCTTGTACCTGAATCTCTGCGTGAGCACCTGCAGACACTTTCTGCTAACTATAATGCTGCAACACAGAAAAATGTTTTCTTTTTAAGCTATTCATCTGCATTTTGTGCCTGCCAAAAATATTTCTGAAAAAGAAAGAGAATGACTATATGATTATGCATTTGCTTTTTATGTAGACTATGAAAGGATATGCTTTCTATTCTGTAATTTCTAATTTTGATGCTCCATTAATCCTTGCAAGATTTGAAACTGAATGTGGAAGTGGAAGAAAAAAAAAAGTGTTCAGTCTGGTCTGTCAGAGAACTGAAGTGATCAAAGAGTGAGAACAAGGCACTTCAACTGAAGTGGTGAGAAAGAGCCTGGACAATAATTTTCTCATGAAAGGACGCTAGCAGATCACATTGCAGGACCAGGGCTAACGTGAGTACAGTGAAAGGAATCGCTTATTTTATACCACGGTGCACCATTGCAATCATAAAAACATTTTTTTTGGAAAACTGTTAAACTTCAAGCTATAAGTCAATTCTTCATTGGTGACATATTGTGAGACTTCTAGAGTCCATTCTTGCTTTATTGGCACCTTTTCTGATTTACACTGTCTTGTGAGGCACACAATTTCACAAGAAAAAAGAATATGCAGAAATTTGCTTATGAGAAGTAGACCCAAAGAAAGTGAATAAACACAGAATTAATTTGGAAAGGAGATAAATAACATGGGATGATTTGAAACAGGAAATGACAGCAATACAGTCCCAGGGGTGGAGACCTTGGGAGTGGGGGATGGGGAGGGAGGTTTCAGAGCACGGGCTCTAGCCCAAGCCTGAATTTCTACTCTATTGTTAGCCCTGTAACCAAGTCTCCTGCAAACCCGAGTCAATTGATCCAGGTTCGAGACTCGCTGCCGCAGGTTTTTTGGTGTTTTTTTTTTTTGCAGAGTAGATGTACACCTTTTTAACACATCAGGGCAGATTCTGGTCCCCACTCTGGTAGTGAAAAGCAGCAGGAAAGTCATCTAAATTGATTATTTGAGGATTTACTCCTTGTATAAGGTAATCTCCAGGTGGTGCAGGGCTAGGACAATGGATTCTTTACTACACCCCTCTCTTTTATCTGAAGTAGAGGGTTTGGCTGGGGAGCCGCCACACCCAGCTGGTTCCTGTTACTGGAACAAATACTTGGAACAATAGGCAGTCAGATATAAGAAAGAACAGCTTTCAGGCCACCTCTGTACCTGATTGTGTATCTGGTTGATTATTTCCTACTCAAAAATACAGAGGCTGGTTTCATTTTTTAAAGTATTTTGTCCAGCAAAGGTGAAATCCAATTTATACAATTTACTCTGTTAAAGAAATATTCTTACCTAAGTATGTTAAATATGATGCAACAATTTTAATTTTTTCTTCTTCAGTTGTATTGCTATCCTAATTAAAGTCTTCTGGAAATAAAGAGCAGTTTGTAGCCATTTCTCTCCCAGGGCATATAATACCTCTCTGAATTCCCTTCTTTCCTTGTCTCAGAATTCATGTCTGGGAAGATAAAGGAAGCATGCTTCTTCACAGATGAATTTTCCATCCTTTCCTAGCTTGTGCAAGAATGTTTTTCTATTCCTGAAATCTTAGTTTTGTATTATGATATGTGCTCTTACCCTTGAATTTTCGCTGAAGACATCTACATAATCTTGCCTCTTCCAATTTGTGAAAGTTATTTCCCCCATCACTTTGTTAATCAGGTTGGTTACAAATTCAATCATGTTTTTGCCTTCAGCTTCATGTGTAATCTTTATTGTTTGAGCATCATGTTCTGTTTCGCAGGTCTTTTAATTTTATTATCAAAATACTGTAATCACTTGAAAATCTCTTCAGGCAGATACTTTAAAAGTCAACTACAGAGAGAACGACTCTTCAGTCTCTACAATTCTTGCAGTAAATATTTCAGCTGAGACACTGAAGTTTTAATAGATAGCAGTAATTTTTGCCTGCACTGTAGGCTTCCTGTATGAATTTCTTCTAGGAGTAGATGGATTACTGAAAAGTTCTCTATACTAGTTTCCTCTGCTTCAGCCACTACTAACTTTTGTGGTTTGGTGAGGAGCAAGTGCCTTTGCTGAAGTCTAGAACTTTCTCTTGGAGACAGTTTCCCTCCTTTTTTCTTTTTTTGGTAAATTTTCTAGTCCTCCTGTAGTATACAGGAATAGGGCAGTATCCCTTTTAATAGTTTGTGAGCCCTTTAGTGATGCTCATTGTATTAGAAACTAGCAGTACACCTCTACCCCGATATAACGCTGTCCTCGGGAGCCAAAAAAATCTTACTGCGTTATAGGTGAAACCACGTTATATCGAACTTGCTTTGATCTGCCGGAGTGCACAGCCCCATCCCCCCGAGCTCTGCTTTACCCCATTATATCCGAATTCGTGTTATATCGGGTTGCGTTATATCGGGATAGAGGTTTATGTACATAGCTATGCCTTGGATATTTGTACTAATTTAGTAAGACTACCTCTACACTACGAGCTATGGCCATAATTCCCAGTTTTCATACACATATTCACTCTAGCTTGATGAAAGGTTGCACGAGTATAAATAGTGTAGTGGTGATAACACAGGCAGTGGTGGCACAGCATAGCCATGCTGTGTACAAACCTGCTTGAACCATATGGCATGGCTTAGCTGCTACTGCCTGTGTCACTGTGGCTACACTTCTATGTATATTTGCTCTAGCTCTCATCAAGCTAACATAAGTATGTGTATGTGAGCTGTAAATCACACCCCAGCTCATAGTGAGGAGGTAGCCTAAATATGGCTACTTCTGGCCCAACTATGCCTGTGTGGTTCCTTCAATGTTTTTATTGTTGTGCAAAGAACAAAAGACAACACGTCCTGACTTTGAAGGAAAAATATGGGCTGCTATTTAAGATTTAAGTAGAATTGACTCTATTGAAACTGCTAGTATGTCTGTTTGCTCTGACACTCTTCATGGTCCCACAAATGTTTCATTAATATATGCTGGCCACTTGCCATCCTGAATGTCTTCCAATAAAAGGTCTCCACCTCTGTGCTGGACATTCACTTGCTAAGGAGGACGCTATTCATGTGGATTCTGCCTTAAAACTATAAAAAGTTAAGATGGACAAGAAATTAAGGGTCAGATTTTACAAGTTTGAGCAAGTCAGCATTGTTCTATTGACATCAATGACGCTATGCTGATTTCCACTAGCAGATCTGGGCCTAAGGTTTATAAAATTATGCATGAATACGTTCACTTCTGTAAACAGGCACATACTAACAGCCAGTGGTACAAGTAGAAATCATTTCTTGCCAGTACACTGCACTCATGGGAGGGACACAAAGAGAGGGGCACGTGACCTCCCCATGTAAGCCCCCCACGTGACTCCTCCCCACTCTGCCCCCAGCCCGGGGCCCCCCGCGCTCTCCCTGTCCCCTCCCCATGATCCATATCCATTCCACATTACCTGAAGGGGTGGGGGCTCTGTCCTCCTCCTGTTGCGCCAGAGACTTCTGCTGTACAAACCCCAGGCAGGAGGACTCAGGAGACACAGCTGCATGGAAGGGCTGGGGGCCGGGCTGGGGGAGGTTCAGCAGCCATGCTGGAGGAGCTGCTGGCATGGGGCTGCCTGGTGGCCCCACGTTCCTGCAGTTCAGGGCTTTTCCGGGAACCACAGCAGGGAAAGGAGCCGAACCCCTAGCACCAACCCCTGCCTTTCCACGGAACTGCGACTTCTCTGTCTGTACAGCAGCCCTGCCAGAGGATGGAGCTGGGGGCGATACAGCCACCGGAGGAGTTGCCAGCATTCTGCTCCTTTCCGGCAGGGCTGCTGTACAGATGGAGAAAATGCAGCTCCATGGAAGAGCTGGGGGCGGGGCTGCAGGCGGGCTCCTCCTGTGTCTTTCTGGTACCCCATACCAGCTATAAATATCTTACTGGTACGGCCTATCGGACCATACTACCGTACTTGCACCACTGTTAACAGCCTGAGCGCAGAACTCCAAATAATGAACTTCTTAGATCTAATCTTGAGGCTGACACTGACTTCCTTTTGTGGCCTTGAGCAAGTCACTTCACCATCCTGCCTCAATTGACCTATTTGAAAATAGTTATCTACCTGCCGGATGTCTTGTGAAATTTAACATCTGCAAAGTACTTCAGAAATAAAATGTGATATGAGTGCTAAGTATTATTAATAACATGCTGCTTAATATGCACCTCAGGATGAATATTGCAAATATCCTTACTCCAAACTGTAAGTTATACTATAGGCAGAATCCTAGTATTACGATGTTGAACCACATAGGGATGGAGACGGGTGGAGTGGAAGTGGAGTAGAGCCATGCACTGCACAGTAAATCACAGTTATCCTATTAGCATAGCTCAGAATGGATCAGGGCAGATGGATGGGTGAAGGAAATGCATAGTAGGAACACCTTATTGCTATTTTCATGCACCATCTGTTAGAACCGATCACACTCCTCTGCAAACATATCGAAGGAATGGCCATTCCCTTTGGCAAAACATGGCCCCTGGTGTACCATTGGCCTGGTAATGGGGCTCCTGTTCTAGAATTAGAGTGGTGGGTTAACCTGTACCACTATTCAATTAAATAATATAAATTTTAAATGTTTCCAATATAGTTGAAAAATTGAACCAATAATCTGCATTAAAAATAAAATGGACATCATACCAATATTTTGATGACCAAAACAGACCCAAAAGAAACAAACTTTTAAAAATACTTCTGTAAAATAAACGTCATTTAAAATCAGGTAAATAAACTTGCATTTTAATATTCCCAGGGCTTAAGTAAGTTTATTCCCCCTTTCCCCCCAAAAAACTTGTGTAGGTAGGGTGACCAGATGCCCTGATTTTATAGGGACAGTCCCGATTTTTGGGTCTTTTTCTTATATAGGCTCCTATTGCCTCTCACCCCTTGTCCTGATTTTTCACATTTGCTGTCTGGTCACCCTAAGCTCATGAGATACATAAGTTTCTACTGCTTTTTACTGCTATCAGCATGGCACAGCGAACACAGCTTCTGTAAGAATCAATGAGCTGGATTCTATTTCTCATCAACAGAATTATTTCCAAGTTCCAATCACCAACACCTGTGTAAACCCCCTGGCAGCATTTGGACTATACAGGTGTCACTGGGAGCATAATTTAAAGGCACTAAATTGCACAGGTGTAGCTGAGACTCTAAATTGGCTTGCAGAATCTTTGTTGTTGATTATGTGAGAGAAGGAAAGTACTCAGCTTGACTCTGAGCCCAGGCTGAGTTTGAAAAACTGTTTTATTTAACTTGTAAACAGAATACAATAATCATGGAAGCCCAATAGGGCATGTTTAGAATCATTGTTAAAAGAAAAGCAATTCCGGAGTTCATAGATTTTAAGGCCAGAAGGCACCACTCTGATCATCAAGTCTGACCTCCTGTATAGCATCGACCATAGAACTTATGCTCTAGGAATTATTTTGCAAATCTTTTAGAAAAACATCCACTCTTGATTTAAAAATTATCAGTGATGGAGAAACCACCATGATCCTTGGTAAATTGTTCCAATGGTTAATTAATTTAGCTGTTAAAAATTTATGCCTTATTTCCAGTCTATATTTGTCTAGCTTCAGATTCCAGCCACTGCATCATGTTCTAGCTTCCTCTGATAGAATTGAAGAGCTGGTTATAAATATTTGTTCCCAATGTAGGTACTGTAGAAAGGTTAGCCGGGGCTCGACTCTCTCTGGGATGGCGGGGACCCACACCGCCTCACTAAGTTC